TTTGAACTGCCCACCCTTTGGTTAGCAGCCAAGCTCTTAACCACTGTGCCACCAGGGCTCCGTTAATACTGTAAGTGTGCTTTTATTTTTAGTTTCGTATTTGTATAGTACTTATACATGTATGAAAAGGTTTTTTTTTTTTACTTTTATTTTGAACTAATTTCAATCTTACAGAAAAGTTGCAAAAAAAAAAAAAAAATAGTACAAAGAGTTCTGTATACCTTCGAGCTTTCCCTAATGTTAACATTTATCAAAACTAGAACACTGACATTTGGGTAATATTAATTAAACTATAGACCTTATTCTAATTTCACCAGTTTTTCCATTAACATCCTTTTTCTGTTCTAGAATCCTATCCAGGATTCCACATTGCATTCAGTTGTTATTTTTCCTTTGGCTCCTCCAATCTGCAACAGTTTTTCAGTCTTTCCTTATCTTTTATGAGCTAGCCACTTTTGAAGATAATTTATCATTTATTTTGTGCAATGTTCATTTTGGGTTTGTCTGATATTAAGATTGGTATGAAGTTGTGAAGTTTGGCAAGATTACCACAGAAATAGAGCAGCCCTGGTGGTGCAGTCGTTAAGAGCTTGGCTGCTAACCAAAAGGAAGGCAGTTCAAACCCACCAGCCCCTCCATGAGAGAAAGATGTAGCAGTCGGCTTCTGTAAAGATTACAGATTAGGAAACCCTATGGGGTAGTTCTACCCTGTCCTATAGGGTATCTATGAGTCAGAATCCAACTCAACCACAGTGGGTTTGGTTTTTTGGTTTACTACAGAAATGACATTGTGTTCTTTTCCGTGAATCCTATCAAGGGTTCATGTTGTTGACATGTGTTATAACTGGTTATGTTAACCTTGATCACTTGGTTAAGGTGGGTATATGAGATTTTTGAGCTAGAAACATTTCTTTTTCTTTTACACCAAAATACATAGACTTTTAGATTTACTTAAGAAGAAGAGCTTCCACACTATTAGCTAAAAAAATGGAATATCCAAGGCAGTCATTCAATAATATTTCTTGAGGAATAATATGTTTTAAAGCACTATACTAGGTGGACTTCTTAAGAGGAAAAAGAAGTTTTACTTAGTTAAATATCATTGTTTATACTCGCTCTTTTCTGTAAGACCTGAAAGCACTTCATCCATATAAGCACATATATTCCCTCAGATCATTGCTACATTTGCATTATATCACTCAATTCATGATCCCTTTTGCCTGCCTTGTTCTCCCAGACCAGCTCAGGCCCATTCAGAACCAGAGACAGGAGAAAAGAGAGCTTCATCTCGTGTTCCCTAATGTACCTAAGTGTGGTATGTGGCATTGTCTCAATAGAATGATCACAGCTGGGAAAAACAGTTCAATGGGATGATGGGAAGTTATCTTCCGTTCAGGAGATCTCCAACTCAAACTATAACAGTGGGTGGGCTCTGGGGACCCCAAAGCAACTCTAAGAGATGTAAAGTAAATGTGGTATATCCATTCTAGAGTGCTAGAAAATCTGAGATTACCAACAGATCCTTCAGGCTATGTCAGCAACCACTGCCCTTTTCAGTCCTTACACCCAGTGTGTTTCCGGTGGAATCACTACCTCCTCACCACCCACCCCTCACCATGCTCTTTATTGTCCACTTCTAACACGATTCCACTGAGAAGCAGGCCTGACCTCCTACAATCTGCATCAGAAAGAAGTAATAGCTCCTCGCTTTACAGTACCATGTCACTTAACCGGTTTCATTATTCTAGCACTTATTTTTTGACATCCTTCTTCCTGACTATGCTGTACAGACGTCAGTGGTATAGATATGTGACACGTGCATATTTTTCTCCCCAGTACCATGAAGCACTGTGCACGGCACCTGTCGTACTTAATAACTGCTTGCCATTGCATGCAACTGTTCCTTGGTTACAGATGATTGAATCAATTGGGAATACTACTGAAGATTCTTTTAACTCATGTGGATAGAATAATATTGAAAGAAAATTCTGTTGAAACATCAAGTCATCTGAGGCTTCTAAAAGTAAAGAGGAATAACTTTCCACACAATATTTCTTTTTTTTTTCCCTTCAAGCTTAATTTTAAAGTCCCACAAAAGCATAGTAGACTTTGTTCCACTTGAGGTTCAATAGAAAATCAAGACTAGAAAGGATGAAAGGCAAAACCGATTTGCTTTAGCTATTAATTATAGAGGTTAAAGAAAAATACGTCTTCCTTCTCTTACTAAGTACATCAATATACTTCACTAATCAGGTCAAAAGCTGGATTTGGCCACTACTTAAATAGCTGTAGGCATTGTCTCCCTGTTGTGCTCTGGATTCTCCAACTGAGGGAAGAGGGAAATCAGGAACTCATGGAGTCTCTGCTCAGCAGAGAGGAGACAGCAAGGGCAGAAATCTTAGCAAGGCAAAAGCGAGATGCCTCAGAAGGATTCTGAAATTAATTCTATAAGTTACAACCCTACGAGGTAACTTTTACTCACAACGTAAACTACATTTATAGCTATTATCATTTTAAATCCAGTTTCCAACTGGGAGAGAACTATAGTTGAAAGTGGGAAACTAATTTTAAAGGATTTTCATAGGGTTAGGCATTTATAAGGAGTTTTGTTTTGTTTGGGGATAGAAGAGAAGTTGTTGTAAGCCAAAAATCATGCATGAAGACACTACTTTGGATCATTTTTTTCCAGTATCGGAGTTTTTCTTCTCAATTAACCTATCTCTGATCTTCCCAAGCCCACTCTCTTCCCTCTTCCACTGCACGTTCCACCCCTCCTCACCTACTTACCCATCCCCATCACAAGGCCCATTACTTGTTCAGTTAAAATCACCCTATATCAACTTAAAACATGGGTGTGACTGAGAGTCCATTATGTGCCAGCCACTGTGCTGATAGTGAGACAGCTTCCATATCCCAGGGTGCTTACAAATCTCACTGGGAAAAATTTATCCTTCTATGCAATGAACCAGAACTATGGGATATAGACAAAAAAAGAAGACTATGAGGAAAAGCAGCAGTAATAACTAACTTGAAGAAATAACTACAAGAATTAAAAGCCACTAATGAAGTGATTCAACATTGTCTGTCAGTTTGTCGTACTGTGGTGGCTTGCATGTTGCTATGATGCTGGAAGCTATACCACTACTATTTCAAATACCAGCAGGGTTAAACATGGTGGACAGGTTCCAGTGGAGCTACCAGACTAACAGAGACTAGGAAGAAAGGCCTGGTGATCTAGCCAAAATTAGCCAGTGAATCTGGATCACAACAAAACACTGTCTGATTCGGTTGCATTGGACACATCGTCAGGACGGAGCAAACACAGCAAGGTTGAGGGAGATCCTTAGTGAAGTGGACTGGCACAATAGCCACAACGACGAACTTGAACATGCCAACAATCATGAAAATGATGCAGGAGCTGGCAGTGTTTCTTTCTGTTGTACATAAGGTCACCACGAGTCAGAGTCGACTCAGTGGCAGCCATCTATCCAATGAAGTGATAGAAGATTTATACAAAGTAAAAAGGGAGAAAAGGAAACCTTCAGTTATTTCAAGACTCTTACACTAGCAGAACTCTACAAACCTTTTTTTTTTCTTTTTTTAGACATTTGGCCAATTGATTAAAAAAAAAAAACTGTATCTTTAATCCTCTAGAAAATGTAACTTTAAGGAAAGGACAAGGCAAGAAAGTAGGAATGGGCAAAGGTTGCATTATCCTTCCATTAAAACATACAACTATTTCATATTTGTATTTTTAGACGAAAAACCTTGAGGGCAGAGCCCTAGTGTAATGTTTGTTAACTCCTCTAAAATGCTGGCTTCACAACTCCTGGCACACACGGACAGTCTGCACTATTGTTAAAATAAATACTGTTCAGATTCCAGTAGATTTTGGACTCAATTTGGATGGGCTGTCATTTACCCTTAGAGTTTACGATGACTAAAGCTACACTTACCCTTAGGGGTTATGTTGTTAAACTATATACTGCATTTTTTTTTTTTTTTTTTTT